AGCACAGCACAGCACAGCACAGCACAGCACAGCACAGCACAGCACAGAATGGTGCTTTCCCCATGGCATTTCTTTTCCTTTGAAAACTGAGGATGACAATGTTTGGAGCAGAGAAACATTGACTTATTTCTATTCATTCAGAATACAGACAACGACTCACAGGCACACAGACTGAAATGCTAATCCTGAGGAGTGCGTGGATCTGTAGCATTTCTAGAATTCCGAATTACTAAATACAAGTGCAAGGCACAACACAGTGCCTTTTTAACTAACAGAGTCTCAAAAGCCCAATAAAATGTAATGCAATTATTCTTAGTTTCATGGTCTGGATAGTCATGCTTGGTTCTGCCCTAGGGATTGAGTATGGTAACCCCTTGGATAGTCAATGTGTTTTTAACTGCGTGTCTGCTTAGTTTTTTTTTCTTGACTGATTAACTTTCTCCTTTGTAAGTATGTGTTTGTTATATGTGTACATGTATATTTGTTATGTGTGAATATATGTGTACATGTGTGTATCCATACATGGGTGTTGTTTGTTACATGTGTACATATATGCTTTATACGTGCCTATGTATATACATGTGTACATGTATATGTTTGTTATATGTGCACATGTATATGTTTGTTATATGTATATATGTGTGTATGTGTTATATGTGTGCATGTATATATGTTTGTTATATGTGTATATGTATATATGTTTGTTATATGTATGTGTGTTATGTGTGTATGTGCATATGTTTGTTATATATGTGTATGTATATTATATGTGTACATATGTATATATGTTATCTGTGTGCATATGTCTGGTGTGTGTGTGTGTCTGTGTGTGTCTGTGTGTGTGTCATCAGAGGCTAATTTTGGGTGTCTTCCTCTATCACTCTTTACCTTGTTTTGGGGCAGTGTCTCATTGTACCTGGAACTTGCAGTACCAGCTAGATGGCTAGCTAGAAAACCCTGAGTATGCTCATTCCCATCACCCACTGCTGGGATTCCGGGCATGAAGCACTGAGCATTATGTTGTCTGTGGTGCTAGGGAATCTGAATTCAGATCCTCCTGGTTGTACACTGAGCACTTTACCCACTGAGACATCTCCCCAGTCTCTTCCTGCAGTTTTATACAGTAGGCATCAAGGTGTTTTAAGTGATATTTGATGATTTGTGTCTGCCTTAAAGGTTTGTGTGATCTCCTAGCAACAAATTATTCTATAGAGATTGAGCAACTTTTAAAACTTTAATGGACACACAAAATCTAAGTAATAAAGTTGTGCTATAAAAGAACATTTCATCTTAGGGGAAGAGAATAGCCATGATTTCCAGTATCTTCCCAATACCTTAAAGTGGTTAAAGGGTAAAAGCTTCATTTATGAATAAGTTCTGGAAAGCTAATGTCCAGCATGTTGACTACAGTTAGTATTTCTCCATCAAACACTTGGATAGGAAAGAGAGCACTCCTTGGGGGTTTCAACAATGAAAACACTGGTGTGTGGTGAGGCATGTATCCATCAGCTTGACTGTGGTAATTGTCTTACAGTACATACACATTTGATTTGTGTATCTTTGAGCAGTCAAAAAGAGATGGCTCAGTGGTTAAGAGCACTGACTGCTCTTCCAGAGGTCCTGAGTTCAATTCCCAGCAACCACATGGTAGCTCAGAATCATCTGTAATGTAATCAGATGCCCTCTTCTGGAGTGTCTGAAGACAGCACAGTGTTCTCATAAATAATAAATAAATCATTAAAAATATATGTATGTATCTGTTAATTATACTCCAATAAAGCTGGAATAATAAAATAAATACATGTGTTAACTGATAAAGAAAACTCTGGTTGTTTATCACTGAACCTCAGTACTGTGAGTGCTCCACACTTTCTCATTGCCTAGACTTACCTCTTTGGTGACAGTAGGCAGTAGCAACGCCAAGTTACAGAATTTCCAAGCCTCCTGAGATTCCCCAAGATCAATATAACACTAGAAATGAAAAGAAACATTTATATTAAGAGCAATCCATATTTACTGCAATGTTTTCAGAGTGATCTTTATGCAGTTCTCTTCCTTACCTTGGCTGTAAACATATAGTTGGACACAGAATAACCAGGTTGTAATTCTTCAGTCTGAATTAAGAGAAAGCAGACAAGAGGGTAACGGCAATGTTATAACAAGAACACTAGTCATAATGAAAAAGGACACATTTCAACAAACTGTCCCAAGACTTGGCTGTTTCATGTTTGAATACCCTTCTTGGCTGAAGTATCTTTGTACAGAAACAGCCTTTGGAGAAAGCAATTACAGTGGGCTGACATTTTCATTGTGGTCACGAAGCGTCTACAGAGAGATTAGTTCATACACAGTCATTGCCTTTCTTTCTATTGTCCTACCTGCCCTCAGGCAACATACTCTCCTGAGACAGGGCCTACACATTCCTCAGTCTGTTTAGAAAAATGAGATAGGACATGGCAAGCATCTTCTACTAGATAGATTAAGACTTGGTTGCTTATGGGCATGTCACATGACTTCAATAACCCCTGAAGTCTATCCCATGCAGTGCTTTGAAAGGAAATAAAGGGTCCACGAGAGAGCTGGTCCAAGTAGAAGGTACTATTAGTGTGCCCACCTCTACCTGTTCACCCACAGTTCCTAATCTCTGGGGGAAATGAGTTCCTGTACAGACAGGCTACTAACTAAAGCTCTTCTAAGGACCCAAGTCAGGTGAGGCATGTAAGCTCCCAACTAGACTCCAGTCCCCATGCTGGAAGAACACAGAACTTAAGGGAAGACTTTAAACAAACAAAAAACTTGAGAGTTCAGTTATTTACAAAATTTCAAAAGGCAAGTTTCTCCTTTCTAATTTTATTCTCAGCTTCAATTTCATTCTCCAGGATCATCAGTCAACTTCTTAGATGACTCATTGAAAATAGAAACAGAAGTAATTATTATTTTTTTTAAATAGCATCTATAATGAAGATTTTTTTCTATATTTTTTCCTTTCCTGGAGCCACAGAAAAATCTTCATGTTAGCATCTTTAGATCTACTGTATTGTTCCTAAAAGCTGTATTTCAAAGTATGGATATACTCTCATTAAATTAAGTACTTTTCCATTAAACCTTTAAATTTGTTCTCAACTTTAACTGTCAAAGAACACACTTGTGTATGTGTGTGACTGTGTCTGTCAGAGAGTCTAATACTGACAAGTGAACAGTGTATGGCCTTGGCATAGAAGAGAGTACAGACAGAGGATTAGATCAGAGGACGTTGTTATTTCAGCCTTGGCTAGAGGTCTGGATGTGTGACTGAGCCTGTCAGGTAAGAGGGCCAGGGGAGCCACCTACATTGCTAATAGGCTCTGGCTGACCACGTGTTCCTCCTCTCTAACCACGTCCATCTCAATATTCCTCATTTGGTAAGAATCTTGAGCTATTCCAAGAATGACGCAAACTAATCGTTCAACTGCCCCCGCCTCCATGTTCAGTACTTGTCTTAGCTCTGAGAAAACCTCATCTGGATAATGTCCACTCATGTGTTCTTCTCCCTCATCCCCTCCTTCAAACAACAAAACAACTGGAACATGTGTATAGACTTCACCAGCTGGGCATTTCTAAACTGGGAACTGGAAATCCAATATGTGTCAAGTTTGGGCGCTGACAGGACGCATTGTTTAACTGGTTTCAGGGTAAGGCAGAGACTAGGTGAATAGAAAGTTAATTTAGTGGGCGTATATACTCCATGCTTAGATATATGCAATACTGCATTTAATTGTTTAAAGTTGTATCAGCAAAGCAATTTCACATGACAGACAAACACACCTTAAGGAAGTTGCACAAAGCTTCATGAACCGTTGAAGATGGTATTTCCCCAAACAGAGTAGCAGCCATTTTTTTCTCAATCCAGCTGAGTCTTGAGACCTACACATACAAAGGAATATCACTCTTAGAAATGGATGCTGTCTCTCCAGTTAGTTATATGTGTAGGTATATATATATGTGTATATATATATATATATATATATATATATACACATATATATATATGTATATATATATATATGTGCATATACATACAACAGATGTTGATAAACAAACTCATAAGTAGTATATCACGGAATGTAGTGACCAGCCCACCTCTGCTACTCCTGCCTACTGCATGCTATCCTATGGTGTCAGTGTTTTCTTAGATATGGGTACATAACATGATTCTTAGTCTAGAGCAAGTTCAGAGGGCTGAGAAGACTTATTCACTGCTCAGGCCCCTGAGAGGCTCTCTGGAGACAGTCCTACACCCATGGACACACAGGTAGTACTAAGGGGATTCAGTAAAGAAAAACATTTGAAGTTGGGAGGAAGAGTGGGAGGAAGGACAGAAGAGAAAGTGGACAGGAAGGGATGGCGTGGATGGAACAGAATAAGCCTGCATGAATTGCTCAGATAATAAAAATAGTAATCAAATTCAATTTAATCTTGCCATTTGCTTTAATTTTTTTATTTTCCACAAATATAAATATTAGGCGTGTATCATATTTCAGAAATGCTACTCAAAGGTCATTCCCTCTCAGTGAAATCAAGCGTCTTCTCAATGCACTTTTAAATTTTTAGGTAGTCATTTTCTAGTAAAAAAAAAAAAGAAAGAAAAGAAAAACAATAAAACAAAATCCAAAAAACCCAAAAGCAAAAAATAAAAGAATACAAATGAAAAAGAACCTGTGGGCCTTGCTGGGTATGCAGAAGACCACGGGCTCAATCCTTGCTGCTGACAAAACTTTACATTTCTCCACAATTCTACTTATTGATTTGCTTGAGTTTGCTTTTTAAAAGCTTTGCAAAAGTGTATTGCACCATTTATTTCCTTTTGTGATTTTTTTCACTTAACATTGTTTTGATCTGGTTGACGGCATAATTGAAGTTCAGTCATTCAAATATATTATTAAATGTGGAATTTAATATGCTTTACATATGAATATTTTTTGTATTCTTGATCATTTAATTATCAAAAAAAGCAGGTTAGGGGCTGGGAAGATGGTTTGCTGTGCAAACGTAAGAACCTGTGCCCCATGGCCAGCACTCAAGTAAAAGGTAAGGCTGGGACCCTTGACTGTGAGCTCAGCACTGGGGTGAGGGTTTGGATGGACAAGACATTCCTGAACATTGCTACCCAGCTAGGCTAGTAGAATTGGTGAGCTTCAGATTCAGAGAGAGATCCTGTCTCAAAAGGTGGTGAGTTACTGAGGAAGACATCTGATGTCAATTGCTGGCCCCATAAGCCCATGCACACACACACTATGTACACACTGCTAACCACACTCCATAAAGAAACATCTGAAGTCTACCAGGATTTTTTTCAATTTGTAAATATATACATATTTGCATATTTTGGTCAGTTTTTATTTTATAGTTTTAAGGCTGGTATTAGGAGCATATAAAATTACAAATTCTTTCATGGTTAATTAAGCTTTTATTTTTGCATGACTACACTCTGTAGCTCTAGAAATAATTGTACTTTAAAATAGATTAAATGCACTTATATTTATATAATTCAAATTAAATCATATTTATATTTAAGAAATATAACTTATGAAATGCACACGTGGCATATAGCGGGTCTCCAATAAAGAGCGCCTCTTCCTTCTCTCTAGTCCTGTGGCCTTAATGAGAAGGTTCCTGCTTTTGATTGCTCTGATAACCTTACTTACAAGTTGTAGCTAGCAGGACTGCACCATTTTCATGCACTTCTTTAGACATAGTTTTCATTCTGTAACTCTTCTGTAAAGTAATGTATTATTTAGGACACTAGGCCTTAGGCTGACCAACTGCCCATATTTGAGTTATTCAATGTCTCATACCCCATCAAGTTAAGTGCCTTGCAGAAACCCTGCCCGGTATCATGTCGGAAGATATTTTTGGAGAATGCAGATCAGTGGTGAAGCACTTGCCTAGAATGTGGGAAGTGGTTCTGAGTTTGATCCCTAGCAGTACAGACTGAAATTTTAAAAAGAAAAAAAAAAGGGGGGGGAAGGTATTTTACAGTTGAAACCAAAGTCGTTTTCAGGCCAGTAACTTAATATATAATTTACGCTCAATAATGCTGGTAATAAAAATAGATCTTTCCAAAGAACCATGGTTGGAACACTTGGACACAAAACATGTGTGACAGATGACCTCAACCTGAGAGCCCAAAGTATGATTTCTACAATCCCATGGAGAGAATTGTGAGTACACACACACACACACACACACACACACACACAAAATATACAAAATGTAAGCTTATAAATGATAAAATATTATAATTTAAAATTAATATTCAATTTCAAAATTATATACCATACACTAAAAATGAACTTTACAATGCTCACTCTAGTGTGCAATAGGTAAAGTCATGAAAGAGTGAGTAGGCTGTTGAAAATGTATCTAGTGTCCCCATGGTATTCAAGTAAGAGTTCTAAGCAAAGACAGTAACTTACAGTATAACAATATCTTCCCTTGAGGTAATACAAAAGAGGATCTTCAGGCAAAAGCTGGATGGCTATATCTAGATGCTTCTGAAAAAAAATTTCACAGAAACGTCATCTAGTCTCAGATACGGCTGAATGGAGCCTTAACCAAGCCCAGGGAACTCAGTTATCTGACAGTGTCTCAGCCACTTCCCCATTCCTTACTGTGACTTCAATTAAATCTCAGCAAGAATTTACCAAATCCCTGCCCGAGGTACTGAAGCTGCGACTGGGCCTTGAGGAAGCTATGCTTAAGTGTGCTCAGTACCTCGGTGAAACTAGCATACATCCACGTCAAAAGCCTCTTGGTCCAAGACTTGCCCAATGAAGACATGGTGACCCAGAAGCAAGTTTCTATACCAGATGGCATGAAGCAGGGTTTAACGTAAGGAAAACAGCCACTCTGGAGAGGCCATGGATCCACACCATCCCAACCCTCTGGAGAGGCCATGGATCCACACCATCCCAATCCCCCTCCAGCACTGTCAGAATGAGGATCGGAAGCTGGAATCCAGGGAAGAGCCGTTTTCTTCCACCACCATTACTGTGTCAGACAGATTAGTTAATGGGTTACTAAAATCAACAGCAATAGTACATGGTTATGTAGGCAAGTTGTCTATTTTGTTCATCCTCTGTGGTAACTTTAAGTTTTAGGTTAGACCCTTTGTTTTTTATTTCCAACCCCAAAGGCAGGCAGTGATTCTCAACCTGTGGGTCATGACCCCAACAGAGGCTGCATAGTTGATATCCTGCATCTCAGATATTTACATTACAGTAAACAGCAGCAAAATGACAATTATGAAGTAGCGACAAAAGGATTTTATGGCTGGGGTCACACTACATGAGGAACTGCTTCATTAAAGGGTCGGAGCACTGGAAAGTTTGGACAGCACTGTGAGTAGCTGATTACTCTTTTCAGTCTTATTTTGTTAGTGAGCTCATGACCAAAGGGCTGTCTTCCATCTTTGGTGGGAAAAAGGCTAACACTCATCTATCTGGGTACTATCTTGTGCCATCATGGATAATATTTACCCACCCAAATAGTTTGATTCTTTTTGTTACAGTATTGTGTATTTCATTTTCTGTTGTTCAAACATCAAAATAAACCCCTAGTGGTCAACATGCCGGGTAATCTCATAGCAGTTAGTGAAATGAAGCTGTACCTTGAATAGATGTCCGCAGTTAATTTTGTTTTGCAAGCCTTCAAACTCAGATACATAACCACACAAAACTGCATACCTGGAAGGGGAAAAAACAGTGGCTGTCAACTTTTCATCAAGTGCTACTATCACATAACACTTAAAAAACATTAATTAATGTTTTATGGAAACAATAATAGAGATGCAAGGGCCCTACCAGTAGATATTTGACATTAATGTAAATCTGGCTTCTTCAGGTATTAACTGAGCATAGGAATGTTGTCTATGTCCTACACATGGTGAGAGAAAACAAGCCACAGAATGTGATGTGATTTGAACAATGCCTGGCAGGTAGGAGGTCTTAGCTAATGCCAGATGCCATTATAAGGTGCTGGGTTCTCAGAAAAAGCCAAATCCTGTACTAAATTAGATAACAAAGTGTTAACAGATTTATAAAATTTAAAGCATATTAAAACCAGTAGTCAAAGACCAGGGCCACTTAAAAAAAATCTCCTGACCTCCTGAAATGTCATTGAAAAAAATCTATATCATGATTAAAATCAAATAAAACTGAGGATAATCTTACAACATGTTTGGAGAAAAATTCTCCATTTCTCTCAATTCTTCCTGGAAACAATGCATTAGTACAAGAGTGCATTCATTCTATGGCTATTCTTATCTCCCTACCCGGACTGGGAACCCAGCATTTACAGAAATGGTTATTTGATTATAGATTAGACACAGTGTTTCTTCAGCAACTGGCTTATTTAAAAGTTGAGGATAAAATTAGTCTCTAGTCAACCAAATAACCCTATTAAAAAAATGGGGTATAGAGCTAAACAAAGAATTCTCAACTGAGGAAACTCGAATGGCTGAGAAGCACCTAAAGAAATGTTCAGCATCCTTAGTCATCAGGGAAATACAAATCAAAACAACCCTGAGATTCCACCTCACACCAGACAGAATGGCTAAGATCAAAAACTCAGGCGATAGTAGATGCTGGCGAGGATGTGGAAAATGAGCAACACTCCTCCATTGTTGGTGGGACTGAAAGATGGTGTAACCACTTTAGAAATCAGTCTGGCGGTTCCTCAGAAAATTGGACATAGCATTACCTGAGGATCCAGCTATACCACTCCTAGGCATATACCCAGAAGATATTCTAACATATAACAAGGACATATGGTCAACTATGTTCATAGCAGCTTTATTTATAACAGCCATAAGCTGGAAAGAACCCAGATGTCCTTCAACAGAGAAATGGATACAAAAATGTGGTACATTTACACAATGGAGTATTACTCAGCTATTAAAAACAATGAATTTGAGAAATTCTTAGGTAAATGGATGGAACTAGAAAATATCATCCTGAGTGAGGTAACCCAATCACACATGGTATTCACTCACTGATTATTGGATTTTAGCCCAGAACCTTGAAATGCCCAAGATTCAACTCACAGACCAGATAAAGCTCATGAAGAATGAAGACCAAGTGGGGGTGCTTCGGTCCTTCTTAGAAGGAGCAACAAAATACTCAGGGGAGCAAATATGGAGATAAAGTGTTGGACAGAAACTGAAGGAGGGGGCGTCTGCAGACCATTCCACCTGGGTATCCATTCAATGTGCAGTCACCAAAGGTAGACACTGATGTGGATGGATATCAGGAAGTGCATGCTGACAGGAGCCTGACATAGCTGTCTCCTTAGAGGTCTGGCAAAGCCTGACATATTCAGAGACAGATACTCACAGCTAATCATTGAACTGATTATGGGGTTCCCAATGGAGGAGTTAGAGTGAAGACTGAAGGAGCTGAAAGGGTTTGCAACCCCATGAAGAGAGCAACAATACCAACCAACCAGAGTCCCCAGGGTCTAAACCACCAGCCTAGGAGCACTTAGGGAGGGACCCATGGTTCCAGCTATATATGCAAGGGAGGATGGTCCTGTCAGGTACAGGTGGGAGAGGAGATCCTTGGTCCCATGAAGGCTGGATGCCGTGTGTGGGGGAATTCGAGAGTGGGAAGGTGGGAGTGGGGGGGGTAGGTGGGGGCCCATCTTCAGAGAAGCAGGAGGAGGGGGGATGGGATAGGGGATACCTGGGCGGGAAGGGGGGTAATGGGGTAAGGGAAGAGCATCTGAAATGTAAATAAAACATCCAATAAAAATAAAAAAGTTGAGGATACATTGTTTTTCACACCTGTTTCTGTCTGTGCAAGTCACTAGAGGATATCAGAATGCTGCTGCCTGAGGCAAAATACATACATTTAACTATTTTAAGAGTGTGATAGTCTTATATGGTTATAAAAACTGAACTTGAGGGTTTTGGATGCTATCTTAATCGACAATTTCTTAATTTGGAACAGTGACACCATTACTGTTACATGGGAGAAGAGACAAGAGACGGAAGTCAACCACTCACGCACCATCAGTGAAACTCCCCTTTCAGCTGTGACTGTTCTCTTTATGGCTAATGAACCCACTACAGTAGAGGCAGAAGGAACAATCAAATCAGCTTCCATGAAATCTGTGTGTGTGGCCTGCAGGTCTCAGGGTCACTGCTGCCCCTGGGTTAGTGCTCAGAGCCTTTACGTCACCAAATGTTTCTCCTCAGTTTTGTCCCTCCTCCGACTCTGACTTGGGAGTTTTGTTTCTCCATATAAAATGTGTTCATGATATCACAAAATAGGATTTTTGCTGGTGGTGTATTGGATCTCTGGAACACACTAGGAAAGCTGACATTTTGACAGTTCTTGGGCTACGCACCTAACAGCCAAATGAGCTCTCCATTTAGGTATTTCTCCTCATCACTCTCAGAGTTTTGCAGTTTGTCTCATAGAGATCTTGTACATATTCTAAAACCTAAATATTTGAGTTTGGGGAGCAAGTTAATGCAAATGGCAATATATTTTAATTTTAAATTTCAATTGCATATTTCTGGCATATATAAAAGTGACTGGGTTTTATACATTAATTTGGTATCCTGTAACCCTGTGCTGATGACTAAATTCTAGGGGTGTAAAGGCTGTCACATCTTCAGCAAACAGAGTCAAGCTCTTCCTTATTGGTCTATCTCTCTCACATCCTTCTGTGCCAGAACTCTGAGAACCAGAAGGGCCATGGTGTGAGGCACACCCTTACCCCACCTTACCTCACCTCCCAGGCTTATGCAGCAGGCAAGTATATCTCTCACATTAGCAATGATGCTGACCATAGCTGCTCTGGAGTTTGTTTTCTGCTAAGCCAAGGAAGTTCCCCCTCTTCTAGTTTTTGACAGGTTGTTTGTTTTACTGTCCATGAAGAACAGTTGTCTGTCCGCTGTGTTCTCTGCATCGATTGATGTCAGCGTAGGATTTTTCTCCCTCTTCCGTTTGTTAATGTACTAACTGATTCTTATATGTCAAACCAGCTTCTCAAAAGCCCAGGAGGGAACCCACAAGGCTACTATGTGTGCTGCTCCTACACTGCTGAGATTCAGCTTGCTACTGCATTTTAAAATGAGTTCTATACCTATGGTTATGAGAGGTGCTGGCCAGAAGGCTTCTTGTAACATTTTCATCTTGTCTTAGATATACTATAGTGCAGGACACATAGAGGAGCTCTGGAAGAGCTTGCAGAAATGTTGTGTGTTCTTTCCTTAAATACGTGATAGAATTTCCCCGTGGATCCAAGTATTTCCTATTATTATTCATCCCATGTCTTTAACACACAAAGGCCTATGTTGACTGTTTATTCATACATATTTTTGAAATGCTAAAATTCTGCTGTATCATTCCCTCCAAAGTCTTTTAGACTATGGGGTGTTTTCAATCCTTTTAAAATTCTGAATAACTACCTCTATTTTGGTTGTAAGCATTGCAGTTTTTAATTGCCCTTATAATACATTCTTTCTAAGTTACTGTGACTGAAAAGAAAAAGACAAAGAAATTCCATGAATTATAAACATTATAGAAAGTGCTCTTTCCCTTTCAAATAACTTGTCCCTAGAGACTTAGGATATGTATAATCTGTTCTGAAATCTGTCTTGAGTGTAAAATTATTTGCTTTCCTCTGTGTCATAAACTCCAAGGTCACGTGTTCATTTTCTCCCAAAGGCTCATCACTTCCTTTCCTATAGTCAGTTCCAGTCATGTGTATGTTATTTTTATAGTGCTCATTTTAAAATGTAATTTAATACTTTATTTCTCAAACTCAAGTCTGATGGGAATCCTGAAGAAGTTACTTTACTCTATGGTGAATTACCTCCACCTAGAGGTTATTTGAAGTATTGATGCTTTCACAAGACTTATAATCACATAATCACTTATAAACACACAATCATGTGTGTGTGTACATACATATATATGCATTTGCATTGATATTGAATATACTCTTAATAAGGGTCAGTCATATAATTCAATGACTCCTAACTGTCCCCACTCATCTCTTGCCTCTATGTGATTTAGCACTAACGCTGTGTACACAGTAGGGGTCAGACACAGCCTCTTGGAATAGAAGGATGGCTGAAAACATCAGAATACAACATCTAACTTCTAGTTTCTTCTTTCCTACTCATTGTGTGGCTCTGCTTACACACACAGGCACATGTGTGCACACACGTGCACGTGCACGTGCACCTGCCCCCCACCACACACACACATGGGGCACTGCTTTTGTATTTAGACAACAGAAACAGATTGCTGTGTGACTCATATGCTATAAGGTGTGTAGCTATAACTCATAAACAGTAGAGCACAATAGAGCACAACTTATATGGAAGATATATTTATACCTACAGACAAATCTATTTGGGCAATATACTATATAAATATATTTTGTTATCTTGATCCCAGAGCACTTTAGGTTGATATGGTAAAGGCAACAGAATCTTATAGAATGCTCTGTAGCCTTAAAGTTACAGTTGACCTATAAGCCCAGCTATCCAATATTCCCAAATATCCTATAAATATTTGTTTTGCAAAATAGATGGGTGGATTTAGCCTTTACATCACAGTTTGCCATTCATGTTGACTGAATGAGAAAAGTTTTATTAATGCCTTAATTTACCCTGAAAGACTCCCAGAAGAATAAGATTTTCCCTCAACATTTTGATGGCTATGTTGTAGACTGCCCTGGTGCTGTTTGTATTTTGATGCTAATTCTGCTTCCTCAAGAGGGGCTGCCCCAACAAGGAGTGAATTACATATTCTGGTGATTCCATGGGAACCTTCTCCCCATTTTAACTGGTCAATAAAGAAGCCAATTGCTGGGCAAAGGATAAGGTGGGATTTCCAGGTCCCAGGAGGAAGAGGAGGAGAGAGAGAGGGAGAGATATTCAGATGAGGCTGTGGAGCAGAGAGGAAGTAGCAGACATGTATGTAACTCTTGGGGACCAATAGTTTGTAGCCTCCTCAGGCAACTGTGGAGGCTAAGAAGGATGGAGTAAGAAATTCCTCCCCCAGCAATTGTGTTATCTGGCTGATTTGAAAATATTAAGGCTGTTTGGTGTTTTCCATCTGTGGTAACTCATGTGGACAGGAGAAAGGACACAGCTGCAGGGCGGTCATTAGAGGATTTAGCCTTCAGTAAGTTTGGTGAAGCCAGGTGAGATGGCCTTTGCTGGCACTGGGCAAGGAACAAGCACACATTTTAAAATTACAAACAACAGGGCTAGCTATGAGATCAGTTTATCTAAATTCCACCTGTCATTCCACAGGTCAAAGCTTAAGATTCTCTTTCATAGACACCTTAAGTTTCAATATTTGATTGAATCAAGGCCTATCTATTGAGTAGATAGAATACATTTTAAGAGTGAATGTTAAACTGACATTAAAATTTACTAAATTCTCATAAATTGAATTGATCTTAACATTTTAAAAAATTGACAGTGAATTTAAAAAAATCATGTAAAACAATTGGATCATTACTTTGTGATGGTAAAACTTAACCTGGGAGTTAAGTCCTGTTTTCATAATCAAGGTATTAGATTTACAACAAAAACAGACAGAGAGGGTGGAGGAGGTTAAAGGAAGGCAGAGTAGGCAACACAGTGAGTGGAGAAGTCAGCCCTGCTACCTTAGCAAGCTGGGGCTCAGGTACTTACAGAGCCCTCAGAGAAGATTCCATATTGTTTCTCTATGAAATTTGAGAACTCACATTGATAAAGGTCCTCACTGAAACCAGTGTATATTTCTAATGTGATTCCTCATGGGTCCAGAGGACTGCAGGACTGAAGGGAGAGCAGAGAACGGTGAAGAGGAGGAGGAAGGAGTAGAGGAAGTCAGAGTTAAGGGGAAAACACGAGTACTCTTTTTGCACCCTGGTCTGGCTGACCAGGTCCCAGGCACCCAGTTTCAAAGGAGATGATGAGAGGATAGCTTTCTCAGTACAAACTCATTTCAATTACTCCTCAAAGTGAAGAAACAGAAGTCCTTTAACACACACATCAATTTTAAAGTATACAAGATGATCTAGGCAAACTGAGTAGACATATAAAATCCAAGCCTTCTATATATTACAGGGATCTTTTAAGTCTGTACCAGCAGGTTCACTTCTCAGTTGCCCCTTTCCTCAGGCCTTAACTCAGCAGCAATGTAAGAGCCGGCTTCCCACTCTGAAAGTCGCGTTTTCCACTAATGGATGGTGTGCTGAGGGCTGAGTCTCATGTTCCAGCTCCTAAAGTTCATTTCACAGTTTAGCATGTCTTCCTTAGAGATAGAGTACACAAAAACTACTGGATTTTTGTTCAGAAAGTTAAAGCAAGTCCTTGTGATGGAGCGCCCTCTGCTGATGACAGAATAAACAGACAGCCCTGCTGCTGTTCGGGATCTTGGGAAGAATGAAGATAGCTGTTTTAGATAGATTTTGCCTAGGGATGTCCCTAAAAAAAACAAAATAACCCCAGAGAGGGTAAATTTATGGCAAGCTACTATGATGGTTTGGTTATGCTTGGCCCAGGGAGTGGGCACTATTAGGTGTGGCCCTGTTGGAGTAGGTGTGGCCTTGTTGGAGTAGGTGTGTCACTGTGGGTGTGGGCTATAAAACCCTCATCCTAGCTGCCTTCTGCTAGAAGCCATCAGATGAAGATGTAGACCTCTCAGCTCCTCCTGCATCATGCCTGTCTGGGTGCTGCCATGCTCCCACCTTGATGATAATGGACTGAACCTCTGAAACTATAAGCCAGCCCCAATTAAATGTTGTCCTTACAAGAGTAGCCTTGGTCATGGTGTCTGTTCACAGCAGTAAAACCCCAACAAGACACCGACATTCAAGAAATGACCACAAGTTAATTTTCCTCTGTATCTAGGGTAACTGTATATTCATTTAGCTGGTGACAGAGACAAAGTCAGTGGTGACAGCAACAACTAAGGATCTAAAAATGTAAAACTGTACAACAAATAAAAGGAAGGATAATTTAAAACAATATGCCTCTTTTATTTTTCTTTTCTTTTTTTTTTCAGTGTAGAAGAGGGACACTTTCCTTAAAAAAAAAATAAAAAAAGCAAACAGACCGAACCATGAAATGGTTTTCCTCTTTTGCTCCAAAATTCCTCATCCTACAGGGCTTTGTGCTTCCTAATTCACAGACCAGACTTCCCTTGACCTGTGGAATTTGTTTCTTGTGACTTAGCAGTTTAAAGAAAATGACCCCCATGCTTCCAATTTTTGGAGCATTCACCCCACATTTTGCTCAGAAACATGTTATAACTTTAGTATATATATTTTAAAAACTGGTATATTTAATTAGATTTAATTTGTCCTCAAAGGCATGAGACTTGTTAGAGTCCCAGAAACTACTCACTGTAGGAGGAACTAAGGTGAGAGGAGTAAGGAGAGGAAGAGGAGGAGTTGGGAGAGGAAGAGAAAAAAGGAAGAGGAGGAGCTAGAGAGGGCAGAAATGTAGGAGGATGAAGAACCACACAGGTATGGAGAGCACTCGTGGGGAACAACTTATAAACTTATAATTAGGTTAGCTAATTGGGATACTACTCTCTTTGTATGGGCATCTTGTTATTAATCATTATCAAACATATAAAGCCTTTGATTAATCTGTAAGAATTAGAGTCTCATTCTCTTACTGGGCCCGCATGGATGGCGGAATAGTCTGGGCAATGCCCTGCCTTGCAGAGACAGTGTGGAAGATTGGCAGAGCCATCTCTCATGCTGGCATCTAGTGGGTGGCAGAGCTGGTGTTTCTGGTGGGCTGGTTCATGTGGCCTCAGGCCAAGAAACATGGCGGCTGGGCTAGGCAGAGCCACTGCAGCTTAGATAGTTGGATGAACCAGAGGCCAGTTTTAAATAATTACCACAACAACTCACATTTAGAACATAATCAATGAGAAATATGTGAGAACAAACATATCCATAACAGTTGCAGCACTATTCACTATAGTTTTTGGGAGCGAGTGTGGCTGGCCAGTTCAGTGCAGTGACTATGTTCTTTAAAACTCCCTGCAGTGTAGAGAGAGGCCTGTGTACTGGGAAGTTAGGTCTGCAGGGACCCTGCATGCTTACCACAGGTGGCAGTGTCCATTCATGGGCGCTCTGGTAATAGCTCTCTCTCCTAAAGTTTTTCCTGAAAGACAAAGAGACTGAAGTTTAGTGTCGTTATAGGAGTGGGTAGGAAGTGGAGTCACCAGTCAAGTCAGTGGCTCTTAAATAGGGTCTTGAGGTGGATAGTATTTGTCTCCTTTGTACTTGTCAGAGGGGGACATTTGGCCCTGGGGTCAGTTGCTTACTCTGGGGATCTTTCCTGATCATCTATGTTTTATCAGCTTCCAAGGATGGTGACATCTGCTCAGCTTTGAGACCCACTGGATTTACTGACTTATGGAAGGACAAGGAAAGTTTCTTACTCATTACTTAAAAGCAAACACATTATTTACTCGTAATCAGTTCAAACATCATTTGCTGAATGCTTATTAGCTGCTGTACTGTGTGAGCAGTGGGGGTAAGACATCAAATTAGAGATGGTTCATGACTTCAGGGCCCACAGTCTACAGTGAACAGCAAGTCCATAAGCAAGGACCTTGACTGATTAGGGCAATGTCAAGAGAGTACAGAGTGTGTGAGGGGGTAGGGGAAGGGCCATGGAGCTGGGCCTGCTCATGTACAACAAGAGTGGGTTCAGGAAATAAATGGAGCCCTTAAATTATTACCCTCAGTTTATCAGCAAGGATACTTTTATTGTCTGACATTACTAAAACATAGGAGATTTTTAAAGATTTTAAGTAAATTCAGAATGTTCAAACTTGTTTTCTGAATTAAAGAGTTACAGTGATTTGAAATTGAGGTGAAATATTTGAGCAGGGCATTGGTGGTGTATGTCTTAAATCCCAGCACACAGCAGACAGAGTTAGGCAGATCTCTGTAGATTTTAGACCATCCTGGTCTACACAATGTAGTCAGGGTGGGAATCCCCACTGACAAGATAAAGCCAATTGCAAAGGACAGTCTAAAATCCAAAATAACACATTTTTTCCCTTGAGTGTACTATGTAAGTTTTTGCTTAATAATAAGTGGAAATGTCCTTAGTGATTTAAAAGATAAATGTATGTCAATCTTAATTTTATATAAAGAGAAAAGGGAATGTAGGTATATTTATCCACATAAAGTTTATTATTTCAATGTAAAAGATAATGCTTTTTCTGTTGCCAAAAGCATTTCCCCTTCTTCCTATGGAAGATATATTTTGCTAGTCAATATAAGGAAGGACCCAGAGTTAGGGTTAGGGCGATACCGTTTGCTTCTATCTTTCCAGGAGAAGAAAAGCATCCAACTAAGGAATCTGAAGACCAGTGGAGAGGAAAAAAAATAATACTCTAAGCTTATTTATTGCATTGCACGTTAACTATCAGCTTGGCAATACAGAATACAAATTCCTTTTGTCAGAGGAGATAAATAAATCAAATAAATATACATGTCCTAGAGTCAATGTGATATTGTTTTAAATGTAAAGAGACATGGGATTAATGCCAGTTAAGGTCTAAACATGATACCCCATCATTTTATCCAATGGGATACACTGGACAACAGTCTAGCTTAAAATGGCACAGACTGGGGACTTGCTACCCCCTTTGAGGTAGGGTGTCATGCTACTCTGAATAACCAGCCAGTCTCCTTGGAAAGTGGGGCTCCCATGGGAAAACTGATTGCAGCTCAGCTAGCATGAAATACATAGCCCAGGCCAAGACCTCTGAGCAAGCATACTCCACTTGAGGGTATGCTTGGGCATTAAAATGAAAGAATTTAAATAAAGTTGAACAAAGGGACAACTGTTAAATTAAAAGAGGAAAATGGAAGGATAGATATAACCACATAAAAAGTAATCTCCAAACAATGGAGGAGATAAAAATTGATGCAAATGATTTCAAGGGTACGTAGATACTAAATAAATAAATCTGTGCCTTTGATTTTCATACTTGGGAAACAAAGACAGTGACAGATAGGCTCCTTGAGAGTTTGAGGCCAGTCTGATCTACAGAACAAACCCGAGTCACCGCAGGCTACACAGAGAAACTCTTTCTCAACAAGAAATAATACATATATGTCATTGTGGAGGAGGATATTTGCACCCCATACAATTTTGTTTTGAATTATCAACATGAAAATGGTTATACGCTCAGTGTTAATGGTGACATTGCACATGTCTTTGAGAGAGGTCAAATGGACAAAATGGAGTGGGCCTGAATGAAAACAGGGCTGTTAGATTGGACCTGTCTACACGCATGATGACTTTAACTGTCAGACAAAAGGGACATTATGTTGGGAGACAGGCTTTGTATTTGTGTTAACATAAAAGGGGGAAAGGCTTTGGATTCCATCCAAACTGATAAAAATCAGATTTGAGAGAGGGGGAATCTCCTGAAGATCTTGGCTGCAGAAAGAAAGAAGAAAATCAAAAGGACCAAATGAGCCAGTACTGTACAATGCTAAACCCTCTATGGAAACAACTCTGAAACTGACTTCAGCTAGGACTTCTGCTAAGCTGGAATAACACTAAGTCTTGTTTACAGACTGTAGCTAAATCTTGCTACAGAATTTTCATGGCTTATTATTACATGCCATCCTTTTAGGTAGCATAAATGGAGTCTTATATTGCAGTTTGGTCATATAATCAACTAGTTCAGAAAGAAAGACATAGTCTTTCATCTCTCAGATGGAGAGCAGGAAGCCATTTTTGCCTAAACTGTGTACCTTGCACACTTCACAATCATTGGTACAGAACTATGTATTATTTGTAAGAAATTATGTTTTCAGAAAATGACAACCAAGGAAGCAGAACTAATAAGATCAACTCTAAAGGATGCTGGGATACCTGATCCTGCTTCAGATTGCGCGGATGCCATTCCTCAAGAGACTTGCTTCCAAAACAGCTTCAGGGAGGGCTGCTGACCTCAGATGACCTCGGTTTGTTTAACCTTACAGACTGACCCAGCCAAGACTTCACTTAAGCCTGAACTTTCTTAACACCGAGAGACTGTGATGCCAACAAATGATGCCAGCTGCTTTCTTTTGATGTAACCATTTTCCCAACTTCCTTTGCGCACACTCAAAGGACTTATTTGCCCCAAGTAAGCCAGAAGCAATTTCAGGAGACACGATCCCATTTCCTTAAGATGGGGTGGATACTTTTGGTCATTTTATGAGTTTGAGGTATGCTGTCATTTAAGAGGATGTTTATGAATAGTTACGGTCTTGGACAGGGAAGAAACAAAACAGGAAACTGAGACTCGGGGATTTCTAGCTTTCCTTTCCTTTTCTCTATCCTTCTTTCTTTCTTAGATAAAAAGATGGGGATTGAGAAGAAAAAGGGAGGATACAGAATTATCATATAGAAATAATAGAATAAGAGGGTAGATTACTGCATCTACTCTTCAACTTAGAGCTGTTGCTACTCTTGAATAAGGTTATTTTTGTTTACATTGATATGGATATGTATATTGATACAGATTTAAGGTTTTCATTGGTATAAGTCTTTGTATATTGATACAAAATTTAAGGTTAATTTTTTTATAACATAAGGTATGTATGCTTCAACTACTGTATACATATTATGCCTATGCAATTCATTTAAAAATACAAGGTGTAGTCCCGGTCCTTTTAATAGGTGCTATTGAAAACTGTTAGGGATGGTTGAAAATGCAAGTTACTGGTCATGTCAGATACTAGTCTAGATTATCACGGAAATACGCATCCTGAGTTGAACAGATATAGATAAGTAAATAAGCATTGTTTACTTGCCTCTAGTAAGTTGTCATGGCCATGTTGTTTAGATATGCTATAAATAGATAGATAATCATCAAAAATCCTAGAGACTCACAGAATATGGCATTTAAGGATGTTTTTATTGATTTAAGCCCCTTCTGACATTGAGACATGACAGCTCCTATTAGCACCCTATTTTTCTTCAAAGATGATGCTGAGCATTGAAGAACCTCCTAAGGAGTTGCTTCAATTTCAGCAGGCTAGTCACTGGGCAAAGAAAATGCCCTGAGTCCATCTGCAGACAGAATGCTGTCCAGGAAGGACAGACACAGGACACTCAACTTCCAAGATCTTCCAAGACGGGGTAAAAAAGTCCTTCATAATTCCTGCTTCACCAAAGGTTTGTCAGATTTTCTGGGCCAGAAGGCTGAAGATGATGCTCCAATATTTTAGAGACTATTGGGGACTGTCCAGGCAGTCAGCTGTCTGTTATTTCTATATTGTTTGGAAGCTGTGTCCCTGAACTTCCTACATATTCAGGTAATGTTTATTCCTTCTCAGGTCTCTGATGGGGTTGGAGACTACTTAGTCATAGTCTTACTATAAGCTTAATATGTTTAGGATTTAATAAGATGTTCTAAGTCTAAGAAGATGATTTTAGAATGGTAATACAAATTAGGATAGAAAATGATTTAAATACACCAAGGCAGGATAGATGATAGACTACTTTATCTAAATTGTCAAATATAAACAAACTGGCTTTTATATTTAACTCTAACCTAATAATTTTCATTATTGTTTTATAATTGTTCCACTATATGTTGTTTATTATTATAAGAGAAAGAGCCTTTTATTTAGTCAGAAAGAGGAATTGTTGAGGATTGGTGTGTTACTGTGTATTGTAATGCTAAATTCTGTATGTCAAGGTCTAGTTGCCTCAAGATGACTGAATTCTCACATATGCTACCTTTTGTTGTTCAAACCCTGTTTGTTAACTTAAAACTACTGGTTAATAAAGATGCCTACAGCCTGAAGCTGAATAGGAGAGGTAGGTGGAGCTTCAGTTCCTGGGCCACTCTGACTGCTAGGTCTCGATCCTGTTTTCCCGTCTCACTGCTAGGTCTCTACCCTGTTTTC